GAAGCCTCATTTGTGAAAAAAAAACTTGGACACGACCAATGTGGACTAGGTATGATGATATGATGTGGTGGAGATCGGCTAACTGTCCATCCACATGGGAAACGACAACGACAACTAAATCAGTGGCAACGCCGCCACCTGTGTGAGAACAACGGCGAAATCACCACCAAGATTTGAAATGGTCACGCAAAACCAGGCAGCTAGAGCATGTGTAGTAAACTTGACGATCGTTGCGTTGCATGTGTACCGTGTTGTGAACGACGACCATCAAGCGATTCGTTAGTGGCACGGGAACATATCAAACATGCGTAAGCATGCCTACCCGGACAGCCTTTCGAGTAGAAAAAAAGTGGCTGGCCTCGTTCTCGTTCTCAAAAGCGATCATTATGTCCCAATCACAATCTGTTGCGGTCGTCCAATCACACTGACCTTACCTGTCACTAGTCAACCTACATAGCGCGGCCCTCTATCGCACTCACTCAGCTTACCTCCCACTGAGGATATGCTCCTTCCCCCGCCTTTTCTCAACTCATTCTCGCCCGCGGCTGCGCCCCCCCCTCCCGCTCCCCCCTCGTTTACGTTAAGGTCCTTCTGTGCCTGTCCACGCTCCAGCGGAGTACGCCCTGCCTTTGCACTGATGAGGTGGGGGGGGGGGGGGGTACTCATAATCGTGCATGCCGTAATCGTTTGACCATTGACCTCGCATCCCTACAAAGCCGGGACGGAGCACGCCGGGTTCTCACCGGACCAGGCTCTCACATCACCAAGCGCGAAGCGCCGTGAGGTATTTGGCGAGTCGCATGAAGGGTGAGCTGCATCCTGCTAAGGGTGTTCGGCATCTTGTGCTTACTCCCTTGCGTACGGATGACAGCTGCGTATGACTTAATTTATTTTCTGGTGCTTTCACTTCCAGAGACAGTTGAAAGCACTGTGTAACTGCCTCGAGGATGCTTGACCATTTTAACACAACGTGGTGCGATCATCCCCCTTGCGCGGAGTGAGGGTTCTCGACCCCGCACAACATGATCTACTCGACCACCATTATGGTTACCGCCAAAAAAAAAACAGAGGTAAAAAAAAAAACGGTAACCTGGTTGCCGAGTTCACGAAGTGAATTGGCTTGTTTTACAACGTCGTTGCCAAGCGACGAAAACCCAACCCCTAGGGGGGGGGGGGGTTGGGGGGGTTGGGGGTACTCATAGTCGTGCATGCCGTAGTCGTTAGACCATTGACCTCGCATCCCTACAAAGCCGGGACGGAGCACGCCGGGTTCTCACCGGACCAGGCTCTCACATCACCAAGCGCGAAGCGCCGTGAGGTATTCGGCGAGTCGCATGAAGGGTGAGCTGCATCCTGCTAAGGGTGTTCGGCATCTTGTGCTTACTCCCTTGCGTACGCATGACAGCTGCGTATGACTTAATTTATTTTCTGGTGCTTTCACTTCCAGAGACAGTTGAAAGCACTGTGTAACTGCCTCGAGGATGCTTGACCATTTTAACACAACGTGGTGCGATCATCCCCCTTGCGCGGAGTGAGGGTTCTCCACCCCGCACAACATGATCTACTCGACCACCATTCTGATGAGGTGGGGGGGGGGGGGGAAAGAACAACATTATCAAGAAAAACAAACATTCGATGTGGTTACCGCCGGAAGCGAAATTTCGAAGCAGACGCTCCGGGACGAGAGCAACCAACGCACGTCAGCGACGACATAGGTATATCCTGCTCTCTCTCCCCCTCTGTCTGGTACTATTGATGTGGTTTCGACTGTCTCCGTACACCCAATCCCTTCCTTCGGGAAACAGAGGACAGGCAAAACGACACACAAGAAAACACAACAAACAACGTCTTTACCTTTCTATCCCTGTCCTTCGACAGACTAGCTGGAACAATTACATTTAGACCACCGCAACAGCTACATCCTTCAGTGTTTCTTTCAGAAAATTCCAAGAACTTTCTTACGGTGGGATGTTGTCGGGATCATCTGGGGACAGCTTCTTGTTGTTGTTGTTGTTGTCGGTGCCAGGTTGAGGTTTGGCGCGGTCGTGCAGATTGTTGCCCATCTGTCGCATCTGTTGGTCCCGGCGTTGCATTTCCTTGTGTGCCTTGGCTGCCTGTTGGTAAGCAGATCACACGAGACCACAATCAGATCACATCGTAAACGAACGCATCACATCGCATCGAAGGGACTTCTTGCTGCAGCTTCGGCTAAACCACGAAAGAAGAGGTGAAGCGTCGCTCTTCCTCTTCCACACAGTACCTTAGCGCCCAAGCAACAGGACCGATCGTCGGACCAGTTCGAAAGTCGTCTTGTGAAAGTGCACCTCCGTCCTAAACCACGTACCCGACTGCTTGACGACGAGGGAGAGGGGATTCAAACTCTTCGCACCAAGACCAACAACTTGGCAAGGCATGTGCACCTTCACCCCAGGAGGGAGGGGGTCGGCAGATAGGAAAATTGTAGACGTGTTTATCCCGAGTGGCCAAAGGAGGGAGACTAGACAGGCACACAAAAAAAAGGAGTGTGATACACAGCCTGACATCGCCTTCGAACAAAACAAAAAATGCTTAGACGTATGAATCAGCACGACATATTAACAGGCAGAAGGACATGCAGAAGGACGGAACAGTGAAACGTCGTCAGGTAAATAGGTACCTCTTCGAAGGCCTGCTGGCCCCGTTCGCGATGCTCCTCCGCCGTCATGCCTCGGGCTTCCTCCATGTTCCGAATCTGATCCATCATGCGTACAAACGCACACAGTGTAACGATTACTTCATTTGCGAGTAGAAACACCCATACACACGCATGGTAGCGAATGGCGGTACAAGCCATGACTTGTTGAGGTACAGTACAGGACTGCTGCAGGCCAATAGGTACACGAAAATAATCCCCACTTCGCTCTCGTGCGCACGCGAAGGCACTACATTGAGCAATGTCATGACATGTTCCTGTCGTGACGGCATTGAATGTCGGAAACTTCCACGCCAGGGAGTCCCCCCGTACTATTGTAAGTTTTCATGTTTGTCAGTTGGCTTTTCTTCTCATTTTTTCACCGTTCACACCGATATCGCGGGCGCCAAACAATGCGAGACAGGCACCCACGCCTACCGCACACAGCGTCACACACGGTATCATAGCGCACACGGTGTCATACATACCGCACACGGTGTCATACCGCACACGGCACCATACCGCACACGGTGTCACACACGCCTACCTCCCGGCGATTTTTCTCGCGCATGGTGGCGGCGTCGCCGGGAAAACGCTCCTCGTCGTCGAAATCGCCTCCCCTTGCTGCCTTCGCCTCCTGCCGCCGCTGTTCGTCCGGCTCTTTGATCGGGGGCAATCCTCGTTCCTCTCTGTCCTTCGCCCACTTGGCCCTCTGCGCGTCCTTCCGTGCGAGTTCAGCTTCTCTCCTGGCCTCCGCCGCATAGCGACTAGGCTGGTGGCCGTGGCATATATGCATACATGCAGCACACAGTACAGTAGCATCATCACGGACGGGTAGGGTTCGGGATAACATCTCGTCGTTCTCGCAAAAAAATAAAATGAGAGCTGGGTCGTCCGGTAGACTGTGAGGTCCAAGGGGATCAGAACGATAGACCAATAGAGAGAGAGAGAGAGAGAGAGAGAGAGAGAGAGAGAGAGAGAGAGAGAGAGAGAGAGAGAGAGAGACTCTGCTGATCAAGGTCAATTACTATCAGATCAGGCCAGCCGACGACAAGGCATTCAAGTGTTGGGACAAGCTATTGGTACCTTGCAAAGGCGGGCGCCTAAATCGGCTTATTTTCAGGGTAAACAATAACAACAACAACAACAACAACAACAACAACAACATCATCAACCTCAACAACCATTACAGTAACAAAAAACAGCGACCAATATCACAACAACAACAACAGCAACACTTGCCATAGCGGCCTTGGCGCCCGAGGTTCCTCCCGCCCGCGGTATCGCGTTCTCTAGTCGCTCTTTGGCTCTTTTCGCCATCACGGCCATGCCATAGTCGTCGTCTTCTTCCTCTGAGGAGTCGTCATCGCCATCGTAGCTGTCGTAGCTGTCGTCATCATCCTCGAAACTGTCGTACGATTCGTCATCATCCTGCGGATTGTATTGTTTTGTAACCCGGCGTCATAGTTGCAGTCAGCCGCCGAGGTGTGCAAGCGTGCAAAGGATTGACGCGAAAAAAATAACGACGAAAAGACGCATGCACCGCGAACAAGAGATTTAGTATGTAAACGGAGGGGGGGGCTGGGAGACACGATGGAAACCGCGGACAAATGTACTGTAGTTTCATGCGAAAACGGTAAAACTGCGGGTATCAACGAGGGGTAGTGGATTGGGGATTGCATCCACACACAGGGCAGATCAGATCCCTACAGATCGAGCTAGATAGCTCTCTCGAACGGTACGTCCCTTGTGATCGGTAGGACATCGGTGGTCTGTGAATGTTTCCTGCAAGTGATCGGGAAATGTTTGCTCCATGTTGATCTCACGGACTTTCTTGGTCTGGGCGATGTCTGCCCGACGTGATCGGTGATTGGGCGATGTTTGCACGATGTGATCGGTGATTATACGATGTCGGCCCGAGGGGATCGGTGATTGGGCGATGTCTGCCCGAGGCGATCGGTGATCGGGCGATTGTTGCCCGACGAGATCGGTGATTGGGCGATGTTTACCCGAGGTAATCGGTAATTTAGCGATGTTAGCCCGAGGTGATCGGTGATTGGGCTACGTTAGCCCGAGGTGATCGGTGATTGGGCGATGTTATCCCGACGAGACCGGTGATTGGGCGATGAAAGCCCGAGGTGATTGGTGATTGGGCGATGTTAGCGCGACGAGACCGGTGATTTGGCGATGTTAGCCCGAGGTGATCGGTGATTGGGCGATGTTTGCCCGAGGTGATCGGTGATTGGATTTTGTTAGCCCGAGGTGATCGGTGATTCGGTAATGTTGCAATGTTTGCCCGAGGTGATCGGTAAGTGGGCTAGGTTAGCCCCAGGTGATCAGTGATTGGGCGATGTTAGCCCAAGGTGATCGGTGATTGGGCGATGTTAGCCCGACGAGACCGGTGGTTGGGCGATGTTAGCCCGAGGTGATCGGTGATAGGGCGATGTTAACCCGACGATCGGTGATTGGGCGATGTTAGCCCGAGGTGATCGGTGATTGGCGATGTTTGCCAGAGACGATCGGTGATTTGGGCGATTTTAGCCCGACGTGATCTGAAAAAAACTCGGTGTTGGGCGATGTTAGCCCGACGTGATCGGCGATTGGGTAATGTTGCAATGTTTGCCCGAGGTGATCGGTCATTGGGGATGTTTGCCCGAGGTGATCTGAAAGACATCCGTGATTCGGCTACGTTTGTCCGAACTGATCTGAAGGAGATGGGTGGTAGGAGATTGTTTACCCGAGGTGATATACACGGTGTACAGGTAATCTGCGTGTATGCTATGTTGCGCGAGGTGATCGGAAAGACGTAGGTGATCTGAGTATGTGTGCTCCATGGTGGCCTGAAAGCCATTCATTGATCACCGGGCTATGTTTGGCCGAGGTGATCATAGGTGATCGGGCCCCGTTTGCCCGACCTGATCTGAAAGACATACAAGGTAGGTGATTGGGGTATGTTTGCCCGAGGTGATCTGAAAGAAGTCGGTGATCGGGGTATGGCTGCTTGATGGTGATGTGAAAGACATGGGTGACAACTAGCGCTTTTGAGATGGGCAAGCGCCACAGAATCAACACGAAAAACACCAACACCATAATAAGCTTCAACTAAAGCAGTCCTTGAGTGTTGGGTTTGTGAATGCTTGGTGAACCAACTCGAACCCCCCCCCCCCCCCCGGCCGGCCTGCTTTGCGTCTTCCAGAGACTGTGCCTGGCTTCCCCAGACAACCGTAAAGAGCGTCGGTCTGACCCACCAATTCTTCGAGCATCACGCGGGAACGTGCTCCGATCGAGCTAAATTTCTTTATTGCAATGAATGATGGAAGTATTGTAGAGTCACGTGGGCCCTGTAGTAGTGCTAGCGCCGGTCAAATACTGCCGGGTGCCCGGTATTGGTGCGTGGTGTTTTCGGCTCGCACGCACTGAAACACCAAGTCCTTCTGTCAACAAAATAAAATAATAATGATTTCGCGCGAAGCCGCCGAAAAGAAGGAGGTTGAGAGAGACATCACAAGCGTGTAGATAGATATGGATGAAGCCTACACACGTCCACCACAGAGGGACAGTCAGCTGCACACGCTAACACCTCACCCGACACCAGCCGTCAGTCAAATAGTTCCGGTGCCCAGTGTAGTGCCGGCAAAATTTCTGGACGATACCGGACCCATACAGGGCCCACTACTGTATTGGTGTAGTATCCCGCTTCGAACTCCTCTAGGAAAGACGGGGAAGTCTTCTTTGTGTGATTGTATGTATCACATGCTACTGCTGTAGGCAACATTTTCTAAAAAAGAAAAAAAAAGGACGAAGAATACGGCGGCAGCAGCGGCAGCAGCAGCAGCATGAACAGCCAACCGTAAGGTAGTGGCCCCTGCATAAGGCCGCACGAATAATGCCGATCGTCCCGTGCAAGGCCGGCGAAATCGCGTGCAACACATGGAATATTGATTCAAGCGGTCTCACACTTTGCTGTGAATAGTGCGGGGTGTACCCGGTACAAAGCGAGCAAAATACATCCCACGGCAAGATGTGGACCGCTACGGTACATAGCTGTCTATATACCAACATACAAGTAATATTAAATTTTGAGTTTTGGGGACGCAATATATATGGAAGGTATAGAAAATATATTGGTCATTCATGCGCATTAACTGCCTCGAGCGAGGAGCGGCAGAGCCATGTAGTGGGAGTTCGAACGACGGTGCGGTTGGCATTTCCCGGCAACGAACCCATGCGTAATGAGGGCAAGTCGACCTCCTCGGGAGGGAAAGGGCAGAATGCCGCCAAGCAGACGCATGCTCTATATATATATAAATGCAAAGTCGTGGCATGGCTCGGGACGAGAGGGCCAGCGCCTCACTAAATTCCCCCCGTAGTACAATAAAAAAACTACGTAAGTATTCTTAAATTTTCAGTTTTGGGGACGCAGTATCAACAATCAAGATGCGGAACAGGGCAGTATTTTTGTGCCAGGTGTCGACATATAAAAATCACTCACGTCTTCCGAGTCTGGCTCGAGGTAGACCACGTTGTAGGAATGGCCGAGTTTTCTTTGCGCCGATCTCCTGAGCTTGATAGGGTCCACTACCTCTCCATTCTTCACTCGGACCAGCTCTCCTCTCACCATCTTGTGCCTCTGTAGGAAGAAAGAATACAAAAAAATGGCGTGATACAGTAGGTGCAGTGGGATCACACGACACTCTTGTGGCAATGGTACCGCCCGCGACAAGGAAAAAAAAATCAAAAATATTTTCCGTTGAGTTAGCGTAGTGGGCTTCACCCTGTGTGACCTATAGAAGCCGAAATCAAACAATTAGATAGAGAAGTCAGGGCTGACCACTCTAAAGGTTTGATCCCGGCTCCATTAGACCCTGGATAATACACAACGCAATATGTACGAAGAGCAGTATGTACCGAAAGGTGAAAGAATAAGACTGGGGCCAGCACAGCCGCGTAGGCTCTATGCAGAAGGAACGAAATTTCACACATAAACAACACACGTTCCTCGTACAGCATGATGTTGTAGCTGGTCTTCGTGAAGAGGTCGTCCAAAATAATATCATCACAAGCCGCATGATTGTGGACGGAGACTCAGGGGGGGGGGGTGATGGAGACGGATCAACGCGCTCATATTTCATGTTCTTCAGGCGGTCCCGAACAAAATTAACTATTCTTTGTGGAGGTGCTACACCATTCGTCACAAGTGTTGTATGTGCAGGCGTTTACGGTGCCCTACAGCAGTGTTGGAATACCGAAATACTTCTACGCAAGAGCGCACAGGAAACACGTACAAGAAATATAAAGTTCGCGAGGCCGTAGCTAAAGGCACATGAGACCCAACATAATTCCGCGAGTAGATACAACAAACCAACCAACGAACAAACCAATCGCAACGTGGGTTGGCTGGCAGGATCATCCTCAATATCACCACCATTAACACCACTTCCACCCGCGGATACGTACAAGATTCACCCACACACTCATGCTCAGCCATGACCCCCTGCCACGGCATGCTCAGCAACAGTATTGTACCGGGATCATGAGCACCGTTGTCTCCCCCGCCCTTAGATCCTCAATCTTGCAACCTCCGGGCTCACAAAGCACCCGCGTCGACTCCATCTTTCTGGAGCAATATACCCATCCTCCACCGATCATCGACATGCTCAACTGGGGCGAAAAAATAGCAGTCGAAAACAGGAGCAGCGAAGTGTGTGCAATGCAAGCAAATAAGCGAGAGATGTGATTGCCCGAAAGATTAAACCTGCAATGGTAGGACACAAACTAGGAGAAGCTGTAGCGACGCGAACACCATTTATGCCAAAAAAAACAGATAAAACAAATAAAAAAATAATGGCACTAAAAGCTCACCCTATTTTTGAACAGCAGCAACACGAACCCAGTTCAACAGGAAACAAGAAACGCAGTAACAACAGCATATATAGAACGATAACATTGCCACTACGACGACCGCAGCACCGAGAAAAGAGTTGAGTCGTCTGACAGCTCAAGAACGGAGACGACAGACACGTAGACATCAAAGAACCGCCGCGAAACACAGCACCTTGAGGGCAGGGAAACCACAAGCAAGTCTCAGGCAAGACGTTCGGTTGTGGGTTAGGGGGTGTTGAGGATAACCGCAAGTACGGCCGAGATCAAACATCTCACGCGCAGCACTATTAATAGGGATGGCTACCGCGCATTACGGCCGCGTTCTGAACACGTGTTGCGAAGGCAGGGTTGGATAAATCTCGTCAGAAGTTGTCATCCATTCTCTTCCCTTGGTACAAGTAGGCTTCTTGCCTTCTTTGCCGAATAACAATGATGTCTCTTACGAACATGGAACGGAAACGCTGTACCATATTCATCATCGCGCAGCCCGTATCAGCATCATCAGTGGGGAAACAAACAGGACTTCACACAGGCTATAATTTCGGTAGGGTCCAAGTGCTTACAATATCGTTAAAACCGAACCCTCCATTCCTTGCTCAAGCGCTCGGTACGGACCGAACGATCCGAAGACTGTCCGCTAGACAAAAAACATATTCTCTCAGACGGAGGAGACGCATGCTGGAACACAGGAAATGTTGCTAGAGTTTACTATTACCACGGCATGTGGTGGAAGCAGCACCATGGGAGTACTCAAGATAGACCCGTCCACGTGCGGCAGAGAAATTCGGTCGTTACATGAGTCCCGAGTAGACAATGGAGGCACACACTTCCGCATGGAGAATCGTTCATCATGTGGGGGCTGCAAGCGGCGTGTAGGTCTCTGTTGTGTTATTGGTTGCTGTGCCGTCTGCAGAGTGTAGAGGTCAAACAAATGCCGTTAAAGGTCTGTGTAGTCGTGCACAGCGGTACACTGCAGCAGACACGTGGACATATCATCTTAGCGGGGGTGAGTTCTCTCGACGATACACAGCAAGCAGTAGTCTTATGACCAGACTGGATGGTAGTCAACAATGATCACCTCGACGATCGTTGATGCATTAGATCGTGGCACGTGCCAACGACACCCGTTTGCACCACAACAAGAATGCTCAACAGAGTAGGCTACCAGCTACAGGTTAGGGTAGGGTAGAGCGCGGGTGCATGGGTGTGTATGCGGGGAGATTACGTGGAATGGTATGCACACATTGCAGTGCTCGCTCGGACACCAAACAAGAGCGAGGTGGAAATATTCGCAAATAACGCCTTGCGGAATGGATCCAAGAGAGCAAAGCAGCAGCTGGCAGGCATGCAAGAAGTCGATGGGTGCAAAGAAGGGGTTGTTCGTCGTCGAAGGTAGCATACCGCAGTAGATGCATCGAAGATTGTCCAACGATCGGTTGAGAAGCAAAGTCAACCGACCCACCGCTTTTGAAAACTTCTTGAAACCATGTGGGGGTATGTGTAGACCACAGCAGTACAGCAGACACAGCAGCAGATTATCTTTTGCAACAACACTCACCAATGCCCACACCATCGTTGCGATAAAAGACTTGGACAAAGCTGCCTTCGGGCTTGACCTGGCCCTGCCGTACAGCCCCCCCCCTCCGCTCCGGCCATTCCCGCTATGAGGGAGAATGGGGTCTCTGCTGCCCCCTCGACTAGGCACCCGGAACATCTAGAAAGACTTGCTGTACAATAGTAGCAGCAGCCTGGTGTTTCGCAGAAGTGCCAGACAAGGCCAGTCCTCTGCACGCCTATCAGCGAGGCAATAAATAGATGCAATAAAGCTCTATCTCTCTTTGCTCCGCAACTCAGTGGCTGTGACACTCTGACGATGATGTTGCTGACCGTCCAGGAGTGCGCGGGCATGTCGAGTCGAGAGCGGGGTGTTCATACGGAACTGGTGAGGCCTGCGACCGTTTCAGCGAAGACCGGGGACGGCGCGCATACACCTGTTGAGGCAAAAACGTAGAAACGCAACACGGGTAGTTAATGAGGAGGTCGGCACCACCAAACGCAGTAGCAGCACACTGGCGACGATTCAACGTCGGACATCGGTGCGTGATGGATGCTGCATTCACTGCGGTAGCAATACGCGTGTTGGGCCACTCTCTTCAGGGTCACACGTATTATTTGCCATGGGTGTGGGCAAAATGTCGCAAACTCGCGCGTCCCTCATCGATCGTGGATACACCAACAACATGCCGCCCCCTCACGGGGTCCCAGTTAATGGCATTTAGAAGTGTTCTGTGTTTTCAACCGCACTGAGACTGACGTTTTTTCATTGGTCAGCCGGTTGGCGCGGTCGATGCTAATAGTAACAACACACAAGATTATGCAACATACAGGACCCCCACGAATAGTATGTAGACGATTTGTGGACGTCTGTTGGGTACGTGCAAGGCCAATGGATCTTTGCCAACATACCGCGTTGGCAATATCTCAAACTAATACTGCAAGTAAAGTCTTAATTTCCTCCTGTAGAACCTAGAGTTACGTATGTAGTGTACGTGTTCCTCCTGAGAAAACAAGATCTTTCGGCAAACCTGCCGGTTTGAGGACGAAACGCGGGCAGATGTGCCAGCGGTGTGTGTGTGCCAAAGGCTGCGCACCAACGAGAATGGTAGAGGGTCCAAGTGGGGCATTCGGCAACAAAAAAGAGTGCCGTTACTGTGCATTACATTGGTCATGTGTTGTTTATGAACCGCGGGGTCTCTACACTACACATCCGGTGGAGAGAAACCGTGCCAGTCGCCGGGATGGAACAGACAGTTGTTGTTGCTGTTGATGTGCAACAGCAGTATACCGTATATGACACAAGATAACACACCCCCTTGGCCGATTTTCAAAGCTCGATTTCTCAACAGCAGGAAGAGTCACGGCGCCGAAAACTGCAGCGTTGGAATCGTCTCGTCGAGAAATTTTCGAAAATGTATCGTTTTGTTTGTGCATCCTCTTCGTCGTGGAGTAATCGAGCTTTGGAAATCGGTCCAGGGGGTGTGTTATCTTGTGTCATATACGGTAGACGCTGCCGTATCTCATGAGGTCTGTATGAGCACCACTATTTGCTTTTGACGACGGGCGCGTGCTACTACCTACAGCATTCACGGGTGTTGAAGACAGACACACCCAACCGCACTGAGACTGACGTCTTTTCATTGGTCAGCCGGTTAGCGCGGTCGATGCTTACAATAAAAAACACACACGTGGACGATGACGTGGTGTTCGTGGCGCACTCTCGCGTCATCACGCACAGTCAACATCCTGTCAAGAAGAGCATCGACCCGCCGGCAGCCGGTCAGGTTCCGGTAAACCCCAAAGCCTCCCCTTTGCTTCTATTCTAGCAACCAAGAAGAGGTCTCGAAAACAGTTGGGGACGGCAACGTGGAGATGTCCTTCATAAAGGGCACCCAACCTCTACACCCAACATCTGTGGAGGATGAGGACAATTCTGCACAGAGGCATACCGAAGAGAACAAGTTGGACCCAACCGCCCCCACAAGCCTTCAAAAGGTAGCAGGTACTACTGAAATCTCGGGGGAGGGGGGGGGGGGGGGGGTGATATTGTGTGCACAGGGTGGCGGGTGGAAACGAGCGATGTCGCTATTAGACTGCACAAGGGAAGTTCGTTGAAACTGCTCCACCGCGGCCGTTAACGTGCGTCACGTGGCCTGCAATGGCTGCGGATGCTACTGCCACTCACTGTTGTACGGGTAGCTTGCGCTCTACTTGCTGACACCACTTATGGGGGAATCCGCGTACTGCTGTGTAGACCGGAGAAACACACCACCATTCTACCGGAAGGAAACTTAGCTTGCAATGCGACAGCGCCCACAACTTCCGACTACAAGAAAAGTAAAACAAAAACCTTACGGTAGGGAAATGATCACCAATAATGAGACATTGCGGGGGGAACACGATATCCCACACTATGTACAGCGTACGATCGTAAAAGCTTAAACCCTCAAGCACCCCACCACCAAAATCAATGATGTTGCACCATCCGTACAATACGTGTAATAGTTCCATGACATGCCCGGTTCAAGCGGTTGAAGGTCTACAGTATTGTTACAACAGTGCGAACGGTTGGTTGAGGCCTACCGCTCAGTCCCGACCCTCGACATCCTTGTCTCTCAGACCACCATCATTGCACGGCCAAAGATCACTCTGTTGGCGGCGGGGCAAATTCCTATCATACATGGTACCATCAGTTTCATTTCCAGTCATTTCGTTGCCCGCGAGATGACCGGTATCAAGCTTCTTCGCGGTGCAGCTAAAAGCGAAGGGTGACGCACGCGGAGACCTCGCCAACACCCTCCTACCGGAATAGCACTCGCTGCTTTCCGCTATGCATGGCAAATTCATCGCAAAGCCGTCCATTAGCGCCATTTTCGGCGGTTTGATGTTGATCAAGGTCGTTACATGCAATGATGCCCGCGGCAAAGTTGGCGCCAGACCTGCAATCAACCTCATCCCTCTCTCTCGCCATTTCGTTACAAGCGCATCCCCATAGCCCCGCTGTATCACTGACGGCGATCAACCACAGCAGTTGCCCACACCGTTCTTCGTTCGCGAGTCATGCACCGTAGATGACGATTGCCGAGTTAACGGCAAACACCAGGATGATCACGTACCTGGTGAGGACAGAAAAATGTTAGACATGCAACGAAGACGTCAGCTAGCTAATAGCGTAGGCAGCGCCTGCCCTGAACAACTCCTGCTACGCTACACTACAAGGTGGTCCAAGGCGCGGAGGTACTCGCCCGGTGCGCATGCTTAGCCTCGATTATATCTACTTACCATCCAGTAATACGAAGCAACCTCCAATGTCGCGCAAAGCGTTAGACTGCTGCTACACGTAGTCATCTTGCTAGATCTGTGGCCCCCAGGGCTCATCATCATACATAAGCCACCCGTGGCCACAGGTTAGCCTAATCCTTCACGAAAGCGTTGCTACAACAGAAGCCCGCCATGGGTCGATTTGTAAAAAGGCTGAGCCAGCTCACCATTCACCGGTGATCTTTCACCCAGCAGGTCGCCGTCATTTGGTAAAAACATCCAAAAGCAGAACAACGTGCCGGGAAAATTGCCGCCCGTCAAGACGACGGCAACATTTCCTTCCTTCCCAAAACCTAAGGCCAACGAGCCTCTACAAGCCATTTCGGAAGACCCCTTGAGCCTGCTGTCCTGAAGCATGGGTACCCCAACCGTGCAAAGTAGGCCAACGTAATAATCGCACGCTCAACGTTTCCACGGTACGTGTTAGACCAAAGGGTGCATCGACATGTGATGCTTACATGGGCATCGTCACTCTCCAGATGGTGGGGGACGTGCCCCCCGACCCCCCTCCTCCGGCAAACCACAACATCTGCACGCGCCACACAACAGTGGCCAAGAAAGGTACAAAGCAGGAGGGAGAAGAGTAAGGAAAGCGGGAGAATGAAATTCTCAACAAACACAGCAAAAAAAATGCACTATATAGGACTGCAAGAGCACTACGTTGAATCCCTAGATGCATGCAAACGGACAGCACATGAAAAATGTACCATGGGAAGGTACAAGACACATGAAAAGACAGACAATAAACGACTTACAATAAAGGTGCACGTGTGGGAAGGTGCAATACACCAATGGGTTTGCATACAAGATATTGCAAGAAAAGATGTATCCTGCAAGGAACACTGTCATTAGCCCATTCAACACGGGAAGGGAAACAAATGAGGCATTGCGACTAACGGCCAAGATTTGATCAACTTCCCGAGTTCCGGCCGCGATAGTCTCCGTAACGCCCATCTGACCAACCGCACAACACGGGTAACAATAGCCACGGAGAATTGACATGATAAGATTCTTGGCCAGCACACAAGCCAGTCACAGATAGATGATTCGAGCGCTGCTCACCGGATAAAAGGATCGAAGCAGGACATACAGCCACCCTAGAGCTGCGATGTACGCGTGCGGCAGTCCTCCGTACGGCGAGAGCCAGATGTTCGACCAAAACAGAGACAGGAAGGGCCCCATCTGCTCCAGCATGTTACCCACTGTTCGATCCCACCCCAACATTTTCCGATCTCGGCTGAAGTAGCGGTCGAACTGAGTCAGGAGCGTCACGCACACAAAACACATATGACCACATCGTTTTTAATACTGAATGTTCTTACATGAACAACGAACACTATCGGGGAACAAACATGGGATATACTAAATTTTTTGGGGGGGGAGCGTTGGAAAAAGAACAACGAATACAATGTATGGTGCATCCAGCCTACGTAGTACAGTATACTTGTAGGACCTTATGGCGAATATTAACCTTTTCGTTTGGTGGATATTAGGACGACAAGTCATCCGTGTCCACAGATACGAATCCACAATAAAAAAAAACGATTTCAAACTGTATATACCACCACAATCCACAATTTTTCTACTTCTACCTGCGAAGCAAAACAAAATTCACAGCGAGCGGTGGAGGATAAGAAGCAGCGCAAGACTCACGAGCGTTTTTCTACCTTCTTGCCATGTGCGGCGTTGTACGCGCGCAGCTTCCGCTTCATGGACCCTTGCGCAATAATGAAGCAATAGTACAGCACGAGGTAGGCTAGCGTCACGCGCACTCCGTGGACCACGTTAGGTCCCACCCTCGAGGACGTCTCCTCCGCCGCTGCCGCCGCGGCCGCCGCCGCCGCTGCGGCGGCCTTCCCTCCCTTGCCCATCGGAGATTTCGCGGCACGGGCAGGACCTTTCAATTTTTCCCGAAAACAAACAGCAGGCGTTACGCGCGGGTCGAAAAGAGCATGGACGGGAAAAAGCAAATCAAGCACCGCGCAGTCAACGCCCGCACTCAAGAGCCTCTACTTTTCGCCTAGACCGAGGTTCTTACCGTATTCCTAGGGTCATGTGACCAATGGCCGTTATATAGGCTATAGAGTAGGGGCTCATAACCGAGCTCACAAATGGCGCTCAGGTTCCAAGATTCTGAGAATTTCGAGGCTACTGCCGTTGTCCATTTCTCAACAGCCGAGTTGTTTTGTGCGGGCGCTGTACAAAAAATCGATCATCGGGAGGGAAAAAAGCAGCCACGAGGGGTTTCGACCTTCTCTCTCGGGTGGATCGGAGGTGGTCCCTACGCGACATTGATGCCACTGCCATGCTGCTGGGGTGAAGGCGGCACGTCTTTCATGTGTGTCATAGAGGCCAATGTGATGAAACGGAACGCAGGATAGGGTAGGATAGGATAGGGTAGGATAGGACAGTCAGTCGTGATGCTGGCAAGGTTCTGCGGCGGTGTACGCAGGGGGTGAAAGGCTTCCGTGAAAGCGGCCGGTGGTAATTGTATTAGTTCCTTCTCGTTGCCTCGGGGGAGACTCGTACCCTTTTTCGACAAGGAAAGCGCACATGAGACACCAACGATAAGCAACCAATCGTACTGTCGCTAGTGCAACACACCACATCCCCTGGGCCGATTTTCAAAGCTCGGATGGAGAAGTCAAACACCTTCTTTTTCCCCACTGCCGCTGTTCTTGCTGCAAACTATGACCGAGCTTTGGAGATTGGCGTAGGGTACGTATGTAACACACGGTAGTCTCTGGAGGTGAAGCAACCTTGCCCAAGGTCCTAGCCCCGAGAGTTGAAAAATGTTTTTCTGCGTGCCCAGCAACCTACTACTGTCCCACCCATGGGGGGGAAGGCTCGCTGCCTGATTTCGGACAGTCGCCGATCGTACTAGCTCCATCAAGAATTTTCTTTCTACAGTACAGCAGCAGAACAATGCTTCATCTTTATCAGACACAATGCGCATACACCGCCGGTGCTGGTGCTGGTAGCACCGCCGTGTGTTCGCGTGTCCGGTACCATCTCATTTGGCTCCGCTCTACTACACCTTTTCGGCACATGTATATTTTCGTACGTATGAGCCGGGGTCACACACACCTGAGTTCGTGGTAGATATTGTGTAGACGGAATGATTTCTGATCGTGTGTCCAACTGAACGTGGGCTCGAGACACAAGCAAATAATCATTGTGTTGCCATTGTACTTTAACTTCACAGCGGACAAGCGTCGCCAACGGCACACGATAGGACCGATAACGCCACAGTAGTTAACAACCACGCTTCGGCAGCGTCAGCAATGCGCCGGTTACTCTCGACTTTGTACTGCTGCTGGTACATTGCATCAGAGAAAGAGTGCCCGTCCGACCCAATAGATACATAGATACCACATGGACGCTAGGTGTTGAAGTTATTGCGAAATGGGTGACATCATTCTGTGCAACACCAGCTCTATTGCTTACACATCATGTGCGCCATTCTGAGAGAACTTTCCTCGCTTTCGAGGCCGAGAACTGATTATTTGATGAGGACATGATTTGATTGCTGCTGGTATCGTTGTTCGTAGTGCGTGTAGCTATTGTTGTCATGGGAAGTCATCTCAAGGAAGCGTACAAGTATGCATACTCCGGTGCCGAAGGGGGGGTGTTATGTTCCAGAAGAGAATCACGTCCTGGCGGGCGGGTGTATAATTCAGGTCGCGTTCCTTGCTACATAGCTCTCGCTCAGTTCCACATGCAGACAGGTGCAAACTATCACGACCACAGCAGTAGCCTTCGCGGATATTCAGCGTGCTTCAGTGTCGCACAACAGCTACACAGCCGCCACACAGCAACAGCAGTCTAGGAGGCATCGGTGCGGCTGCAATCCAGTTGAGCCGCCAAATGGTGCTGCTGTGTGTGGACATTTATTCTCCCGCAAAACGTACACTCACCACCACCAAAGAACCAACTACCTGCCTAGCACACCTTCGTTTGTCGCGACACAGCCCAGTGGATTGCCCAGGAGTATGTATGGAGCGAGCGGAGTGCGTGCTCTCTATGGCAGGGATGATGCAGGATGATGGTCCGTTCGTGCACTCTTTTCAAATGGATTTGGGGGGGGGCCGCAGAAGGCATCCCTACAGCAGACATACATGGACGTTGGTAGGCCATTCCCGTCAGCCGATGTGTATGTTCGTGTGTCCACACAACCGCGCACGGGAGCGTACGTAACACGGCCAGAATCTTACTTTGGTGGTAGCCATGAACGAGAGCTCGGCTGTCCGCTACGATTGCGTGTGTTCGATGGCCAGCAGGAAGGAAAAAGTGACAACGTTCTTCAGTGCAAGTAAAGAGTCACAGCGATCGGCTTATAGTCTACAGTTACAATACGTGTCCTGCGGCAGCAACTGCTGTACAACAGCAGTACGACAACAATGAAAGCCCTCCTGCCCGCCCATCGGTCAGGTCATGTCAGCAGCATAGAAAAGCTGTCGACAGCGTTGCAATACCTCATGGAACGACTGTGGAGATTGCACAAAAAACTTTGATGGAGTGTTTGTGTCGATCATGTGTCCCGTAACTAAATAGCGGCCATTTCCCTCCCTATTTTCTCCAATCCAACCCTTTACGCAGCGACTCGGGTGTGTCCAGCTATGCATACAACCGGTGAGATATTCTCTACTCATCCATCCATCCATCCATCACAAAGACCGGTAATGACCACTTCCTACATGCCAACCGCAATGAAAAACAACACCAACTCCTTCGACATGGCATAAAACGTTCAAGGTGCAACTTTCACTATCGAGCACATTTCCCGTTCTTCATGTTGTCAATGAACCCTCCTACTCCCCCGAGGTCGCAAAAAACATAAACACCACTCAGCACAGACACTATTCCCTCAGGAACAAGCCTCACTTGCGCTTTCGAGCATGTTCTTGCATGCGGTTCACGACGGCAACGAACGCACCCTCCTCTTCCCCAGTCACAAAACACTACACACCTACTACTCAACAAGGCACGCTTTTCTAGTGCCCCACGAACAAATCTCTCACGCCAGACAAAAAACGATAAGAAAAACAACACCGGTATCTCAGCCTGGCACAAGGCGCTCAACCACATCCCACAACACGAACATCGGCAGGTCAGTCCGGCGCATCACGCAGACTAAAAACCAAGATGGATTCTCACGCTATTACTGCTGTAGTACCACCTGTTTCCCCTAACTGAGGAAAACGGGGCACACGATGATGAACACGGAAACGAGGTATGGCGTAAGTCAAGTTGCGACTGGCTGCACCGTGAACGAGCACGCTAACACCTTCATACATACAATATCCAGGCCTCAAGGACACCAACGCCGATGTCACCATTCCCAGCCGTTTACAACGTACACACAACAAAGAGCGTGGGCGGAGCCACTGAGGTCCAGTAGCGCCATGCAAGGCAGCAACTTCTGTTCGCTTGTTTGGTACCATATACAACACCGGCCCGCTAAAATACTAGGAACTACGAACCGCTCATTTCCCCTCAGTTCCTTTTTCGTCGTCATCTTGAAGCATAGACAACCATATAGGTTGATCCAGCGTAGCATCTATCCACTGCCGGGCTTGTAGCTATCTGTGGGTTCCCAGCTTTCTCATTCTTCGGGATTGTGACTATTCATATTCTTGTTAACACATAATTTTCTTAGCAGTCGGCCGGTAGTGCTGTACACGTTTAGCAGATCTAGTTCAAGTTCGTGGAAGTCCACCGCAGAAAATATCGCAGCCACACACCGCCGGAGCACGAAGAAGAACGCTTTCACATGTACCATCAGTCCTTCTTGACCGCAGCAGCCTTAGATGCGCGGAACTCGGCGATGTTGGCATCAGACTTGATCCTCATCCGCTTTTGCAGGTCCTTCTTGTACCCGAGGTCGAAGAGCACCTCACACACAACGAACAGCGGTGATGCCAAGAAAGCCTGCCAGCAGCAGCAGTAGGAGGGGAAATGGGGGCAAGAGGGTGTCCGAAAGAAAGGCCGAAAGATAAAAAAACTAAGGTTTCCTGAAGAACAGCGGCCCTTGTCATTGGAACACTCTCAACACTGTGACCTATAGATACCCAAGACCTCTCGCGGACGAAGCAATACTCGAGTGTGGAGAAGTCCAACGCTGACATGCACGATACTTTTTCTCTGCAGAAGCCACATCCGCGTCATCCCCGGGCGACAAACTCGAAAGTGGTTCAACTCAGCACAGGGGCAGCACACTACCAAAGCGAAGCGCGGTACTACAGTGGTACAGAGTAACATCGAGCTTGGCGCGGGGAACCAAGGCCACATTCTTCTTGCCTGGAAGAGGTTGTCGAGGAGCGCCGGGGCCCTTCCCTCGTGGGCGGCGTGCCCGTAGAACTGCGCTAGCCAGCACCCGATGTGCGCGGCGGTGGCCAGGCGCGCGGAGCCTCCGCCAGCCATCCACAGGTTGGTCGTGAGGTAGGTCGAAGCCATCATGAACGAGGCCACGCCCCCCGCGAAGGGGTCCATCACTGCCACAACAATGGCAAGATATTTGAAACGGCAGGTAAGTTGGAACAGTACATAGTTTGTACCGTGTTGCTGTACGACCGGAGGCGACATCATACGTCAGAGCGATAGGAGCTACGTGAGTTTGTGGTAGGTGGTAGTTGGGGGGGCAAACAGGAGTACTGTAAGAAGAACCGAAGAAACCGCTATTATACAATTGTCCGAAGAGTGAGATGCCGTCTGAGATAGTCGTTCTGATTCTCATGGACACAGCAAGAGGTCTACGGTAGTGGTTGGTCGGTCTGGAGGTGGTGTACGCGCGCAACTGGTGTGACACAAAACAGTTGGCCGCCTGTCATGCGGATGTTGCACGAGAGAAGACGGCAGTCGCCATACAGGAACGTTTCAACGTGCACTTGTCTATCACAACAGCGAACGACTTTGGAAAGAGCTCAATGAGGGCAGCAGGAGCCATTGCATTGAATGCATCTCGGTGCGAGGGAACAGGCTACCCGTAGCTAGAAAATCGCTTTTGTGTTGAGTGAAGAACTTGAGAATGCTGAGCATGCTCGTCAGAAGACCTAAAACCTACAGTTCTCACCCAGATAGACGAAGATGTAGACCATCACAACCGGAGTACCAAGATGCAGGTTCCAGGCTTCATCCCTAAGGGGAAGCTGCTCCAAGACCTCCGCGGGGAGCTTTCCGAAAGAACACTGGGTCATGAGGGCGCAGCCGGTCCAGATGATGGGCCAGATACACAGCAGGTGGATGAACTTGTTGACCCGGTTGCTGTGGTCTGCGCGGCGAAAAAAGAGAGACGGTAAAATACCGTTGCTTAGCATAGAGTACGATCCCCCACTTAAGCACCTGGGAGCGAGTTAAGAAAATTGGACAAAATTGACAGATCACCTCAAACAAAGAACCACTCGACAAAAATAACAGATGCTTAGCTAAGAATCCTACGAAAACTCTTGTGTATGTAGTCGCTGCTGGGTTAGACTACCCCACAGATGAAAACACAGGATCGAGCGTACCGCAAACTTAGCACGGCTTCAGTGGCGACTCGTATTGTACATCGATAGGCCCCTCTGTCTTTTAGTCAAACTGGCTACTGCCATATATTTCGCGGAGTCGGGACTGTGGAAATGTTGTTTCTGAGACGAACCGTAGTGCTGACGAAGCCGGGAGTCGATTGTGGCTTTCATCTGCTATCATCTACACAAACGTCGGGGTCTTCTATGCATACAAACGTGCAGGTTGGGACGCCATCCGCCAGGCCATGTTCGCGCGAGCTAGCAATGAAGCTCGTATCACATTGATGTCCATTCGGGATATTCAACGACATTCTACCAACAACTCGCACAGACCGCCAGTCAGTATCATCGGATCGCAGCAGCAGCAACAGCAAAGAAGCGAAAGACGGGAAGGAAGGAATCATGTGGCCACGCCATGGTGAGGTCGAAGCTCAAACAGACATGTCTGCATGCTACCCGCATTCGCGGACGTTTTTGTTCTCCCTTGTTGATTGACCACCTTCTCTTGGAATAAGACAAAAATTAGCACGAAAAAAGCCAAGAAACTTTCGCATGCTTCGGCCGCTTGTGTGTCCGAAAGCCGGAAGAACCGATGTGCCCCTTATCTGTAATCCTTTAATGAATACGTTCGTCGGATCGATGCGAGGATAACCCCGCAACATCACCGCTGCGGATAACAACCTTGTTGCCGGATCGAAGATGTCCTCCAACACTTGACTGCTGCTGTAGGTGCACTGCAGTAGCGTACAATGTGCCAAGAGCTCAGCTGTGGTGGAGATGATGGAGAGCGCAAGCATGGCCTAGTTCTGGCTCGAATGGGACGAAGGCTTTAACATATCAAGCGAACCTTCGGAAAAACTGCCCGCTGGAATGATATAATAGCATCATCGGTTGGCGTTCATCCGAAGAAACATCGCAACGAACGGGACAATGTGACATTCGCGAACAACATCCCGATACCTTGTAAAACTGCTGTACACCTATTTAGGTATTCTCTGGCGTGCGCACGGAGGTACGAAAAGAGCACGGCCGATGTGCGTGAGCTGCGTGAGAGGTTTTAATGGTGGAGCTAACCTTCGTCGTTGACGGTTGCGATGAGATCGTGCACGAAAGTGGTTGAACGAGTAAGCCATGCTAGGACCGGCGGCGCAACTTGGAACGCCGGGACAAACGACCAAAACGCCAGAAAAGCTTCGACCAAAAAAAACAGGTGCTACAGCCTATAGCTTCAGCAAGCCCAAACCCACATGAGGCGTAGAAGGTGAACTGGTCTTCCAGCGAGAAGTACGAAGAAGGAGAAGCCGACGCCATGGTTGTGGTTTCGCTCGTTTGCGTGCCACTCCCCGAGAAGAAGTAAGATGGGTGTTGATCGATCCGCAACGGCAGAGGTCCCTGGTCGTGTGAAAACTTAGCAACAGTGTGCGCGGTGAGCTGCTCGGTAGCCTTGCCTTCGGTGTGGTCCCTCTCTCTGTCTTGTGTGCAAGTGGTAGCGGGTGTTGTGAGGGCGGTGGGCGCGTGTGTGTGTGTGACAGGGGCGGGGGAAGCGGTGAGCGCTGAGCGCTGGAGAGCAAGCGGTCAAGCGGTGGAATGTAACGCGGTGCAACAGCTTAACAGCTTGTTTGATACACATCTCCGGAGATGTCGTAGAACCCCTGTTTTTCGTAGAACCCCGGATGAGGAACGGCGAAAGGCGGGCGAACGGCAGCAGCAAGCGTAGCGCTGAGGAGTGGCAGGCGAGCAGACGGAAAGGTTGCTACTCACAACATGTCGGGGATGTGGGCAAGTGGTCCTTCAAGACGCCGGAGTGTCGGTGAAAGCACCAAGGACCGGCGGCCCCGGCTGAAAGCTTTGGCGGCAGATAGTGCACAGGAGCGCCGCCGTCAGGAATTCATCTCCAACCAGAAGAGGGTGAGCGTGAGATGCTGCGCTGCACAGCAGCAGTCAAGAGACTACGCTTGAGGGTGAAGATCGACGTTGGGTGCATGTGCGGCGTGGTAGCCTTGTGGTGGTAATCACTTGAACGGCTTCTGTCCACTTACCCGACGTTTGGTTGGCGGTCTCTCTATTCAACATGTTCACCCACCCTTTGCTTCTTACTATAATACTGCTGTAGCGTGTACTAATATTGTATCTGCAGCATCAACGGCCCAAGTGGTGACATGGCTGCGTGCTCACAGACTCAACTGCTGCCGGACGCCAGCATGCCGGGAGTCCTGATCTTTTCCAACGCTTTCCGAGCTACGGACCCATAGAGAAGAGACATCGAAGCAACGTGATATTGTCCATATTTGAGGACTGATACCACCCCTCTCCATTGACTTCAAAGATTGATTGCTCCGCAGCGGCCGGACCGCCGCAGCTATTAATTAACTAGATTGAAGCACAAGGGAACCGTAGAAAAAATAGATGCAAGGGCACCGCACAAGTACGACACAAGATTAATGCAATCACTGAGATGTCAAGCGTCCTAAAACCCTAACCACACTCCGTGGAAACAGCATACGTGTTCGGGTCAACACCGATACATCAGCCTCCGACCAAGTAACAGGGCGACATTGGACCATGCGGCGCCACATCCGGTGATAGCATGTTCTTAGACACCAAAATCCCATCAAATCCCTTCGTTGTCAATAGGGTGCGTTTTCTTGTGTCGAACAAAAAACGGCATTCGTAGACATGTTATCGTCCACATTTCCCGGGAACTTTCTGAAAAGCGAATGGCCGACAGGATTGGACGTACTTCCGTGCTCTCAACGCAGAAGTATGGGATTCTCACAGCATATACAGCAGTTTACAGCAGTACACAGAGCGACAGGGGGAGGCAGCATCCTTGCGATACATACGGCTGCTCCATCAGAATAGCTAGAGGGACGAGCAAAAATTACTGTGTCGGTAATAGGTAAGACGGTGGACATCCTGCGGCGGCTCCAGGGTTTGGTGCTATGCTGCTCTCCGCCACGTCGTACGATCGATCGGTGGGTTGCATTGAGGCACGGCGAACATGTGGCAAAATGGGCTATACACGGACTTCTACTCGTCTGCACGTGTGTTTCGTGCGGAAAAACTCAACAAGACGCAATACCCATGCATTCCAGAGAGTCCCGCGCCCACTCTTCCTAACCTCTTGGCTGTGTTTGCGCTTGCGCCTTGGACTACCATCGCAAGTTGTTGCGGGTTGTGGTGCTCTCATCCTCAACTTGCGCCATAGACTTCCCTCACGGCCTTCTTTGTGTGTTGCTTGCTTGTTGTTGTTGCTTTCATCCTCAAGGCGCGGCGGAACCTGTCCGACCACGCTCGTCTGCTGGCCGCTCTGCCGTCGGAAGAGTCAGAAGCCACCGACACCGGCGAATACCAGCAGCACCGCCACCACCATCACCCACAAGCTGAAGGCTGCGATTACGGATTCCCGACCGCAGAAGGAGGGGGGGTGGAGTCGTCGATAAAAGGGCACGAAGGAACCGGAGGCGAAGCAGGAGCAGGAGGTGGAGATACAGGAGGAGGGTGGGCGCAGGAGGTCGAAATGGCGATCGATGATGGACAGGTGAGTTCCTCCAGGGTGTGGGGGGGGTGCACTCATAGTCGTGCATGCCGTAGTCGTTGGAACACTGACCTCGCATCCCGACAAAACTGGGCCGGAACACCCCGAGTTCTCACCGGACCAGGCTTTCACATCACCAAGCGGGAGGGGGAAGTGGTTGTATCGTCGTCGGCGGGGTGTTTTTGTTTTTTCGCTGTTGTGTAGGCTGGTTTTGTAACGGTTTGGTCGTGAAGAGAACAAAGACCAAAGGTGAAAGCAGCAGTCTTCCGTTGTGGTTATCCTCGTACGCCTTTGTACGTTACGCTTTGAGACCAAGACACGAGACGCGCGCTAGCATTGTCATCAGCGTACAAGAGGGCCTGCCCTCCGCATCGGGCTCATGAAGGCACAGCGGTGTCATCTAAAGGCTGTCCGACGCTTTTCAATACTCTCTGAGGCCATTTCGATGCTACATAATGCTGTCTGATGTCATTTCAATGCTTCTGAAGCCAAATCAACGCTGTCTGGAGGTCATTTTAATGCGATCTGAGGCCTTGTCAATGCTGTATGAAGTCGTTTCAATGCTTGCACCCGTCTCCGAATCTGCCCACCTTCTACAGGTCCATGAAAAGTCTCCCCACCATGTTGGCGACGCCACCGCCAGGGTTTCCGCCAGTAGGCCGGCGAGCAGCAACAACAGCTCCACCGGCGCTAGGGGCGGCGGGCAAGGCGGCGGTAGGGGGAAGGGGACAAGGGGCGCCGGAGGCAGCGGCGGTGCGGCTCAACGGGCGATAAGACGGCGGGACCACTGGGCCAATCAGCTTTGCACTCCGGAGTGGATGCTGACGGTCCCGAGCGATCTCAACGGTGCCGGCAGCACCGTTGGTGCTGGTGAGCCAAGTTTAACGCATGTAGTGAGCGAGCGACCGGGTGGTGTGGCTACAGTTCGCCGATCTTGTACTTTGCGTTGGTCCCGGCTGTGATTTGAAGCTGAAAGCAAGCCATTAGACTAGCTGACGAGTTTTAATGGTTTGATTTCAACTTCTAAACGGCGTGAGATGCGTTTGATGGATTCGCGTCTTGGCACCCTCTCATCTGAGCCAAGTCTACGCATGTAGTAGGCGAGATATCGGGTTGTGTTTCTACCAGTATACATACACCGATCGTGAAGATGATCCTCATGTCTCTCCGGGCCTTGCCTTTTGGATTCGTCTGTGGTGGTAGTATCATCATTTCAGTCGCCGTTTGTTTCAAGGAACGTTTGGACCGCGTTCAATGGCATGCCTTCCATTGTCAGACAGACACCAGACTGACAGCACGGCCAGATAAGGTCCATTGCTTGCCCAAAGCTGTAACCCTTCGTTGGTGCTATCTGCATGCGTTCGTTTGTGTGATATATTGCTTGTTCCACAGCTTGGTGTTATGATATGCATGTAGGTGAACTACGAAGGCTCCGGAGTCTTCGCTATTGATTCAAGGCGTTTGTTTGTTACCCTGATTTTGCTGGGCATTCGGCATGCCGTTCTCGTACATGCATGTGTTTGTGTGTGATTGTGTGCCGATCGCTGACGCTGACAGGGTGGTACGTGATGACGAGGCCGGAGGGCAAGCGTGTGCTGGTCATCTCGGCAAAGGGGGAGACGGTGGCCAGGCAGATGTGCGGAGCGATCACGCACAGGTATGTATGTGCCTCTCACTTCCGAGTTGTGTGCATGTGCCTCCCACCATTGTAGCGTGATTTGGGTGTTCTTATACGTGGGAACATCGCTCTCTTTCTGCGTGCGCGCGGCGTCTGTTTTCCGTGTGATAAAGTACCGTTCCTGGCGCTCTTGTTGTCGTTTGATTCTGGCCGCTCATGGTCAGCTACACGCAGCTCACCATGAGTTTGCATCTAAGCTCACGTCGCTTAGCCTTACTGATGGCTCACGCGCATCTCTTTCCACGGTGGATCGCTTAGCCTAACCTGACGGATGGCTTATGTGCATCTCTCCCAGGTTAGTGCTGGCGATATTGCTATGTACCATGCCGGTAGGCAATTGAGGCTAGGTTTGCCGGCTCTGCGGTACTCGTGTCGTCTGAGAGACCTACGATAGATATGCGATATATGGTCTTCCTGCCTCCGTTATCTTTGATCGTCGTGATACGTATGCTTTCTCTCTACCTGTTCTTTGCTGCCGTCATCGTGGTACCGTATCTAAGCGTTGACTGCCATCGTTGAGTGGGAAGAAGGTGGGGATGAGGAAAAATCTTCATGGCCCAGAAACAATCGTTCAACTACACCTTCTCTTTTGGCACGTTCTTCAAAGAACTTTTTAAGTTCTTGTTACAGCAGTGATTTTCTTTTGTATTCTTGCCTGGCTCAAAACATGGCTGCACTTCGGCGACCCCGTCAACAGCGTTGGCTACAGGCACTCCCCCTTCAACGGCGCCTCGCTTTGCTTGCATGGCTCTCACCCTCTCTCAGGTTTAGCTCGAACTTACCGGGGGGATCGTCGACTACGGCGGGACGGCGGGGGGGCTCGAAGGGCGGTGGCGGCTACTGCATCTTGGACTGTGTCTTTCACGAGCTGGACCAGACTTTCTTCGTGTTGGACATGATGGCGTGGAAAGTGAGTGATTCCGCGTCCGATTCGTGAAAATGTTCTCTAGCTGATCGTGTAGCCTTCCTGTACAATGACATGGACAAACTTTCCTGAGCGTTTTTGTTTCTAAGCAGGCAGGGGTTGAGTAACCCTACTCCTCACAGTCGTGTCGCGAACGTCGTTTTTGCCGTGCGTGGCCCAAAATGTATGTGGATGAGTGATCGCAAGCCAAGGCCTAATTCAGGATGGGTGAGTTTCGGCAGTGCAATGGCGTGCGCATGTATATAACGTTCACGTATTGTGTCAAGGTGTGGGATGTAGAAGTACATACGTGCTCCGCCAGGGGGTTGTTTTCATCTCAACTTGTGCATGAGGCGATCAGGAGAGGTATCGTCAGACCAATCGGCTTGTGCAGCCAGCCGGTCGCCAGAGACAACCGGTGCCGGAGCCAATTGACGCCACCGACCGCAACGTTTCGGCTACCGGTTTTTTCAACCAACAGTTTGCTTCTCGATAAGATAGTACTTCTGTGTTGTGAAGGTCTTGTTTGGCGAGCAACTTGTTTTTTTCCAAGTGTTCTCCTCAACGCGGTCCCTCATGTTCCCGTCATTCCTGCCGTTCAGTGTCTACCCCATGCACAACATGAACCCGCGCAACCAATTCATGTGTTACCCTATCCATTTCCTTTCTTCACAGGCGCCCCTGCCCCCCCACGGTTCTGTCCGTTGGGACCCCAGAACTCTTAACGTTTTCCGCGTGTGCCCTTCCACAGCGTCAGTCTCGCTCGCACTGTCGGGAAATCCAGGTTAAGCATGCCGTCATGAATCCCTTTAAACTTGTCCCCCCACTCTCTCCTCCTTCCCCTGATTTACCTGCTTCCTCCTCATGCAAACCTTCGCGAACCCCCAACTCTGCCTCCCTCCCCCCCTCTCTCTTGGCCTGCTTTGTCTGCTTCCTCCCGATGCATACCTTCATGAACCGTAAACCTACATGTCTCCCCCATGTTTTGGTCCATCTTCCCCTCATTTTCCTGCCTCCTCTGCGCATTCGTTGGGTCCGTGTGGGGTAGGGCTACCCGCTGTACGACTGCAACACGGACTTCCGTTTCTACTGGGTCCGGACGAAACTGCTTGAAGCAGACGGGCCTCTTGACACCGTCACCTCGAGAAACGCCTACAGAATAAAGGTCAGAGTCGGGTTGCTCCTCCCCGTTCTACAGTATGTCCAGCTACACCGAGAGAAGAAGTTGTTTATGTTGTGCATATTTTGTCAGGCTCGCTGCCTTCTCCAGCGACGTTCTCGGCTTGTTGTCCTCGTCCATCAAGTATCCATCCCTTTGACAGCCACGTGACTTGAGGAGTTCTTATGCAGCCCACTACTTTTTGACGCTGGCAGCACTCTTGACCCGAAGGAACTTTGCTGCAGCACATTTGCTTGCGGACCGCGTGGCAGCGCATTTACTTTTGGCAAGGTGTTCGGTCACGACAGTCTATTATTTCATGTATGGTGGCATGACGAAGACAGCAGACAGGAATCGACTCGCTACACACCACTACCCCTATGATTCACGTGCGTCACCCCCCCCCGGAGTGCGAGGTTGAGTTAGTTGTGCATCATCTCCCAACCAAACTAGTACCACAAATCCGGTAGGCAAGGATCATGTAGCACGTGCCCACTACGCCATCCCATCGTCATTTCTTCCGGATAGGGTACCGACCCCCCCCCCCCCCCCCCCTTGACGGCTCTTCGCGCTTGGTGGTGTGAGAGCCTGGTCCGGTGAGAACCCGCGGTGCTCCGGCCCAGCTTTGTAGGGATGCGAGGTCAATTGTCTAACGACTACGGCATCCACGATTATGTGTACGCCCCCCCCGCCAACCTTTTGCATTTTTCAGCCGACGCCGTACCATGAGTGCGATAGGCAAGGGCTGGCCCACGCCTACGCTTCGCCCGTGCCGTTCATCAAGGATGGGCTGCTGTTCTACCTCAAGACCGCCCACTACCAGCTAGGCCCGACGCCTCTGGTGCTGCTGTGGAAGGACGCATCAGTGGCGAGGTATCTGGGGATACAGTCGGACCAGGTACAGATTAGCATTGCTGCAGTCGCTGACAGTATTGATTTTGCCCGTTGTCGATATATTGTGTCCCCAAAAGTGCAAGTTAACAAATAACGAAAACACGGAAAACACATCATATATTTTTTTACCATGTGAACTGACATCTTGCAGTCTTTTATTTTACGATTACGGTAGGGGCCACCGAGTTTAGGTAACTTGGGTGTAGTCGTCGCGTCCGTTGTGTGCTCGTGGGTCGAAAAGTAGTCATGTGTTGGACGTCGTCCATGCGGTGTTGTTGGCGTGACAGGTGCTTCGTAGACCGTGCGGGTTTCCAGGATGGCGGTGGGGTACGTAAGCAG